ATATGTAAACCTTAAAGACTTCAATAGTTTCATCAATGTCGGTGGTCTGATTTCTGATCACAGTACTTGTCACCGTTCAAAAAGTAAAAAAGATTAAAACTTTAATCAATATATGTGTGCGTATATATATATACACACACACACATTACAGATTCTAATTTGATCATGTATAATGAATGTCCCAGAACAAATTTACCCTTTTCTGTTTGTTATTTTTTCATGCACATGCATATAAGCTTTAAAGTTCTTATATATGGTTTGTTTTCTTTTGTGACCCTTTATGAATGACACAGTTTTCCATTATTGAAGCTATACAGGTGTCCATAAAGTAAGGGAAAATTGGAAAAGAAAGCTAAATAAAAGAGAATTTATGTGATGTTGGGTGCTTGAGGTCAGCTTCCCATTGGCTGTTGATTAAATTTTTGTTGCTTGGTTTAGTGGTTATCACTGTCAAGCAATATCAAAGGCAACAACAGAGAAGCAGCAAAACGAAAAAGAGAGAAAAATGGGAAAAATGATGAGGTTTCAGCATCAGAATTATTATTATCAGCCTCTTAGAAGAGAAGCAATTGCTGGGTTATTTATGTTTCTTTTCCCAGTTTTTTTGCTTTGTTTGTTTACTCCGTTCAGCCGTGCTTCCCCTTCTACGTTCTCGGTATGTTCCTATATATATATATTCCTTAGCAGAATTTTCCTTTTTCTCTCATGGAAAACGATTTCTTGGTTCTAATTTTCTTTGTGGAAAATTCATGGAAATGAGATAGGGCAGTTTAAGGTTGTTCAATGATAAGTTTGCAGTTCATTAAAAATGGAAAGTATGGATTAATTTAAGTTTATTTTACCGACTGAAAGTTTATGGATAAGTGGCAAGCTTATGCAGCTAAGTGTCTGCTAATCATTTTACTTTATTGAAAATAATCCCAAATTAGAACTCTGTCTTGTTAGTATATAGTTTTGCAGTTCATTAAAAATGGAAAGTATGGATTAATTAAGTTTATTTTACCGACTGAAAGTTTGGATAAGTGGCAAGCTTATGCAGCTAAGTGTCTGCTAATCATTTTACTTTATTGAAAATAATCCCAAATTAGAACTCTGTCTTGTTAGTATATAGTTAATTTGCTTGAATTGGAAATTTGAAAAATGATGGTCTGCAATTCTGCTTTTCTTCCATTCTTGTAAATTTTCTTTAGCCTTTCCTCGTTCCCCAGTTCTCTTGATTAAATTAAACATTTTCTCCCACAAAATTCAGAAAAAGTATAAAGGAAAAAGATTTTAGCAGTTCTTTATGCAGAGTTCCACCATTGATCTTTTGGTAATCTAGTGATTTGTGCTGATTAGCATGATAAATGCTGATAATTTGCTCTTTGGGAAGGAAATGGAACTTCAATTTATCTGGTTTGTTGCGGTATTGCTTTTTTTTAGGAATGGAAATTACCTGATTGTTCCCTTTGGTGCTCCTTGCAGGAGTCAAAATTCATGAAACCTCGACATTTACCTTTACTCGAGAGAACCTTACAACATGAAAGTGTGAGTTGATGTTCGTTAAGCAACACGTTGTGCTTCGGTGTGCCTGCATCTCCATATGTTATGATTTTCCTTTTATGAATGTATATTGATTTGTAATTTTGCTGTTTGATTTGCTTCTGTGTTTTCTATTCAGTCCAATAATGAACCATCTGATCTCTGGGCTCCTTTGGCTGACCAAGGGTGGAGACCATGTCTTGCATCGGTAAATGACCCATGTGAGTGATCAGCAATGCTATTTGAAGTTGTAGTTTCTTTATATTGATAAAATCATGAGTTAGGAGACTCGAGTTTGCGGGTCCCGATCACGATACTAAGATTTTTTTGGATTTTTATCTTTGATTACTTCGAGCAGCATTGCCTCAGAAATCTGAAGGATATCTTCAGGTCTTTCTTGATGGAGGACTCAACCAGCAAAGAATGGGGGTAGGTCTCATTTTCATTTTAGGTTCTCTAGAGGAGTCGAGAATTACAAAACATCGAATAATTCTAGTTCTCCTGATTAAATTCCTTTTTGCTTCATAGATATGTGATGCGATTGCTGTTGCTAAAATATTGAATGCAACACTTGTGATCCCACATCTTGAAGTAAATCCGGTATGGCAAGATTCAAGGTACATGTGTAGAAGAAAAGCATCCTTTCAAGTTCTTATTCCAAGTGGAAATTAGTTCTCTCCCCAGTTTAAGGATGTATATTTTTTCTGAAGTAACTATTTTCCCTGCAGCTCATTCATGGATATATTTGATGTGGATCACTTTATTAATGTATTGAAGGAAGATGTAACGATTGTCAAACAGCTGCCCGATGAATTCTCTTGGAGCACAAGAGAGTATTATGCTACTGCTATTCGGACCACCAGAATTAAACGAGCACCTGTTCATGCATCTGCAAACTGGTATCTCGAGAACGTCTTGCCTGTACTTAAGAGGTTGGTTGCAACTTGAACCAATTGATTGAAATGCACATTTTCTGTCACTTTTGATGGTTTTCATACATATACATAATACAAGTACTCTCTCACGTATGTCCTTGTCATGGGGACAGTAGACATTAACATGCGCTGTGTGACTGGTTTAAATTCATAGCCAGTGAGCGTACAATGCAGATTTCACTGTAATCTAATGATCATGTTATGTTATTTTTCCAGCTATGGGATTGCTGCAATTTCTCCTTTCTCTCACCGTTTGTCTTTTGACAACTTGCCAAGTGAAATCCAAAAACTCCGTTGTAAAGTCAACTTTCAAGCACTTGTTTTTGTTCCGCACATTCGTGTACTTGGAGATACCCTTGTCCATCGCCTCCGGTATCCTCCGGCTGAGAGTCAAGAACTTACCATTGACGATCTTAGCGGAAACACTGATCGAAATGACAAACAAAGACCACAGAAGTTTTTAGTGGTACACCTTCGGTTTGATAAGGTATATAATTGGCTTATGCTGTAGATTAAGATCCTCGTATAAGTGACATTTTCTACGTACATATATGTATGTACTTTAATTTAAAACGCCACAAAAGATATCATTGTTTCTATGCAGGATATGGCTGCTCATTCGGCCTGTGATTTCGGTGGGGGTAAAGCTGAAAAGCTGGCTTTGGCCAAGTATCGACAAAGGATTTGGGGAGGGAGCGTTCTCAATTCTCAGTTTACCGATGAAGAGTTGAGAAGTCAAGGTCGTTGCCCATTGACTCCTGAAGAAATCGGACTGCAGCTGGCAGCTTTAGGTTTTGATAATAATACCCGTCTTTATCTTGCTTCCCACAAGGTACTTTGTCTTAGGAATTCTGGTTTTTCAAATCTATCTTGCCACGTTCATCAAATGGTCATATATTTCAGGTATACGGTGGGGAAGCCAGGATTTCCACCCTAAGAGAGCTGTTTCCGATGATGGAAAGCAAAAAGAGCCTTGCCTCTTCGGAGGAAAGGGTCCGTATAAAAGGAAAGGCTTCGTTGTTAGCAGCGGTTGATTACTATGTGAGTTTGCATAGCGACATATTTGTCTCAGCTTCCCCTGGGAATATGCACAATGCGTTGGTGAGTATTTCTGGCTAAATGCTAGAGGACAGTAGATTTCTTCTGATGCAGTATATGATTGTACTAGAAGATATCTAAACCCGAACTTTCTGGGTTGAATGTAGAGTGTGCCAATAGACAGTTTCGGTGTACTTATCGTCATAGTTTGTGTGTTTACATGATTGTTTTAAGTTTATTTACTTTGCGAGTCTAATTTTGAGAACCTTCGCCTGAATTCTGCAACTGCAGTGTTTTTACTGTCATTTCCTTTGGCCAAGTTAGTATATACAGTTCTGCTTACTGATGCTTGCAATGGCATGCAAACAGATGGGACATCGGACATTCAAGAACATGAAGACCATAAGGCCAAACATGGCTTTGTTGGGACAACTATTCCTCAACAAAAACATTACTTGGACAGACTTCCGTCAGGCCGTGGTTGAAGGGCATCAGAACAGACAAGGGCAACTGCAGTTGAGGAAACTGAAACAGTCCATATATACATACCCAGCTCCCGATTGCATGTGCCAAGCTTAATCCCTAAACCTCGTCTTATTGGTAAGCTTAAAGAAAGCGAGTTACCCTTACTATATGTAATTGATTTTATACTGCAACTATTTGTTATTTGTGGCTTGTATTGGTAACATAAATAAGATGCAATCCCATTTCTCCAACTAATAAAAATATTAGATCTACTGTTCTTAGTATTATGTAGCTCGTTGCATCAACAAGAATTTATATCGTGCCAGGGGTCGCCAACATCAAATTGTCGTGGATCATATTATGGACTGCGGAGTTGGGTATGCAGCCTATGATTCATCTCTGTAGGTCTCTATTTTGTTTGTTGCGTAGCTCTGCCAGTGAAGCTGTCTTTGCAACTTTCTTTTTGGTAAATTATTACAGGGAACAAATTTTAATGCTAGTGTATTACATGAAACATCTATGTTTTGAGCAAGAGATTTGAGTTTTTACTTCGCAGTTGACAAAATTTTAACTGATTTAATATTCTGGTAATTGATGTCTTGCAAGTCTTTAAGATGAATGTTCTCCTATATTGGAAGAAAGAAGTAGCTTTGTTTCTTTGCTCGCAAAATTCATCTGCGGAGTGTAAACGATATGCTAGTACTTGCATGTTGCTCAAATATGAACTCTTAAAAACATTACTCTAAGTGTAAGCTTAAGCAGCTATTTAAAAGTTGCTCTGCATCCATGGGGCAACTATGGCCCTAAAAGTCAAGCCAAGGTTTCAATGTGACTGCCCCATTCAACAATTCCCATGTGCATAACTTTCACAGCAATTTTTACATAAAGGCGCAGCCAAATCTATGTTGTTTGTCAATCTTTGAACCATGCAAGACAAGCCTTAACATTAGATTTGCCTTTCAAACAAATTGATTTTAAAGCATCAAGAGAATTAAAACTCAGAATAATGATATATCAACAATAGCTTTTAGGATGAAACAAGCTACATTTTAAGAATAAAAACGTAGTAGCAATTGGGAGGATACACATGTATGGGAGAAGCTTGATGAAATACAACTTCATTGTAGGTGTCAGGAAGTGTCAAACAATGCAAGTCATGAGCTTCGGGGATTGGTAGTTAGCTATCAATATATCAATGATCATCAGAGTTACTAGATTTGGGTCGGATCTGACTATCTTTCTTATCCTCAGCAGTTGATCCATTTCCATTTCGGCTTGCCGATGCCACCTCTTTTGCATCTGTTGTGTGCGGAGTCATTTCTTCCTCGATAGGCAGTGTTCTCTTTGAGCCCTCTAATGCAACACCAAGAACTATGTTTTCCTCCAAGGCAGGTCTAGCTATCGGTGGCTTAGACACTGGATGCTTCTCACCACTTTCTGTTGAGGATACAGAAGGATTATCTAACTTGCTGTCTTGCCTAGCAAGTTTCTGTTGATCGTCTGTAACTCTTTTGTTTTGGGGCACATTATTGGAGATTGAATCCGGCACCTCTTGGTCAGGACTAGATGTTTCTCCAGCATTAGAAATTGTCTTCGGGGCAGATTTTGATGGTTGTTTAACTTCATCAGCGGTCTTGGGAAGTGATGTTGATTTGAGGGAAGCATTAGACTCTTTGGCTTCAGAATTTGGACTTTCTACAACCTTAGCATCTGCTTTGAGTTCAGTTAACTGTGCTCCTTTGGATTTGGAGTTGGGCTTTGGTGTTGTTCCAGCCTTGTCTGCAGAAGGCCGCACTGTGGTTTTACTGTCTTGTTCTCCAGCTGGTTGCGAGGACCTGCCTTTTATTCTATCCTCACCACTGATCTTGTAAGAAGGTTCAATTACTAACAGAGGCCTGTTAGGTGTCACTCCACCATGGTTATAGATTGAGTCTGCAAATGGTACATTGTCCAAGTCGGAATCATTAATTCTTTTCTGCACAGTGCGAATTGGTGTTGCAAGCCGGGCACGATGATGGCTGATCACTCTAAGGAGATCTAAAAGTATAGCTTCCTTCATCATCAACAAAAAATAAGATCCATTCAAATATATTAAGCTTACTGGAAGAGACTTTCACAGACAGGAATATAAATTGAACATAATTAAAAGGCCTTTTCCCCATAAGGAATCAAGAGAAGTTATTATGTTATGGTCAGCATCTAATGCAGGTTATACCAGCAAAATAAAGAAACCCAAGGGATTCGAATAAAAGCTATGCTTGCAATACAAAAGATGGTATTTATGCCATGCGAGTCTAGTCTTCTAATGAAGCAAGCATACTTAATTGAACATAGATCCGTCAATATGGTACGGATTCAGTTCACATACTTCTATTAAGTTCAAGTAACATTTCCAAGAACGACGTACTACAGTCTGCCATTGGTGCACTAAACACCCTGACATCCACATGCACAGGCCACATTCATCATTTACAGATATAAACTACAATAGAGACACCCTCTTACCTTTACACATAGGTACTCTTCAAGGTGAGAGGTCTTTACAAAACAGGACACCAGTATCTGTCAAAGGAGGAAAAAAATTGTTAGATATTTATGATACAAACAATAAATAGTTCATCTTACATCTCAGGTCTCTCCTGCCAGTTGTAGAATGTATTAGGTAAGTTCTGCCATCTATTTTAGATGTATTTTATTTTTATCTACCAAGGAGATAAGTTAGATATCCATTAAGTAGTTTATATAAGTACAACTCCTATGTAAACACTAACATAATAGGAGACTACAGTTGTAAGATTCAGCCTTTTTAATCAGGCTATTTTCTGTAAGTTTTTTTTATGAATTAGAATTCAGAAAGACTTCTCTAAATCTTTCACTATTAATAAGAGATGTTTCTTCTTTTCTCATTAGGTAAATCTTCAAAAGCTTACAATACGGTTCTCGTACAGGAAAGGACACTGTAAATATGTTTACCATGTCTCTTGTATAAAGATCTTAAGAGAAAAGAAACTGGGAACAGCAATTCTTGGATTCTACAGATGCTCGAAAATGCTTGAACAAAATACATGCACCATATCAATAAAGTAGGAAGTTAATTAAACAAGCACTGAAGATGGGCATAAGGGAAATGTCCATACTTTTGAGGTTAATATGACCAGACTGGACAACAATAGATTAGCTTTAGGATTTGATGGGTTGTCAAAGTAATTTTGACCATAACCATCACGTGTTAGTGAGAGAAGCTCCCGCAGCTCCCGCTTCTCTCTAGGGCCCAGGTGTTTTAAAAAATAAAAGTGGTTTCTCCTCCGACAGTGTTTTGTCGTCCGCTGCCGCCGCCGTCAGCAATCCGCCGCCGTCAGCAATCCGCCGCCATACTCGAACCACCGTTTGACGCCGTTTTTTCCTGGGATGGTCGTCTGCTCAAGGTGAACACAGATCTGGACCTTTTTTTGCGAAAAACTGTGTCATTCGTCGCAGATCTACACTCCGTCAACTGCAGATTTACGCCGGCTCCCGCCGGCCGAGTTCGACTCCGCCACATTACCGATCGCAGCGCCTTATTGCGATCTAATCTCAAGCGTTCTAGTGTCGAGCATCGTTAAACAACTGAGAAATCACCATGGAACCCCAACCCCCGTCTCAGCCCAGCCGTCTACGAGGGTTTGTTTCAGCTGGCGTGAGGCATTCTACCGTCCCTCCTTCATCATTTAGGATTTCACAACTCCTTGAACCAGACAGCAGTGGTGCAGCCGGTGATTTTCCTATGGAGTCTGCCAAGGAACTAGAAGCGAGAGTAAAGGCTCTAAAAGCACTAGTGGCAGATTTGAACAAGCGGGTAAAGGATTTAAAAATGAAGGAGAATGCAGTTTCACCAGGTAATTTTCTCAGAACCTCTGGATCCGCCGGTGCAGCCTCTTCTTCTTACTCCAGTAAAGACATACGTGAAAATGAGAAAGAAAAGGAGAGGTCAAAGTTTCGGAAACGGAACAAACGAGTTTTTACCAGACGCATGCTAGCCGGATTGAGGCAGTTTGGTAACTTCCCAATTCCCCCGCATGCTGCTAGGAACGATGTTCTGGCAGCCTTGGCACGTGAGGCTGGTTGGACAGTTGAGCCCGATGACACCACTTACCGACACTCTCCTATGCTCCAAAATCAACAAAATTTGGGAACTTATTCAGCGAGGTCGGGTGATAGTCCATTATCATCCAATCCTTTGAAGAAGTGCTTACAAGAAGGGAAACATAGAAATGGAAAGCTGTCTTTAGCACACGTAAAACCAGCTCTTTCTGTTGCTCATGTTGATCATAATGGATCCAAGGAGATCAATTCGAAAGGGTATTCCAATGTAAAATTGTTCGAAGTGGTGGGAAGTAGAAGAAACGGGTTTAATAATCAGTCAAAGGAAGGCCAACCAAATATCGTCAATGAGTTCAGAAAGGGTTGTTACACGATTTTTATCGAGAACCTTCGAGAGAAGATCCATTGGAAGAGACTTGGATCTATATTTGGCTCACATGGTCAAGTTATTGATGCATTCATTCCCAAAAAAAGAAACTCGAAAGGGTTTCGCTTTGGGTTTATTCGCTTTGCTACAATTGAAGAAGCAAGGACAGCGATTTCTAAGATGAATGGTAATCATATTTACGGCAACAAAATTAGAGTCTCTCTGGCTAAATATAAACCTAGATAGTCTTTCTGGCGAAAGTCCTCGACAGCTGTTCAAAGTAAGTCTGGGATGGAAGATTTTCCGAGGTTTAAACACTGTGAAGTTGAGGGTGCTGTGGACGAAGATAAACTTCAAGTGTTGAACAACTGTCTTGTTGGATGGTGCAAGAACTTTATCAAGATTGGTAATCTTGCTAACCAAATACAAGCCAAAGGACTAGCGGGTTTCACGCTAATGAGAGCTGCTGGAAATGTAGTTCTAATGGTTTTTGAGGACTCGGATTTGTTGAGAAGCGTGAAGGAAGATAAGTTAGAGACTCTTGCAGAATGGTTTTCCAAAGTGGAAACTTGGTCAGAGAGTCTTGTGGTGGAGAGTCGGCGCGTGTGGTTAGTTTGCGAAGGTATTCCTTTTCACGCTTGGAATTGGGATACTTTCAAAAACATAGCTACTAAGTGGGGCAAGTTAATAGCAATTGATAACAGTTGTGAGTTCCCTTCGTCTTTTGACTGGGCTAAAATTCAAATACTCACAAATGCTCAAGGGAAAATTGATGAGTTGTTAGAGTTGAAGGTCGGGGATAATTTATTCAAAATCTTGGTGCATGAAGTTGACCCTTCCTTCAAACCTAATTCTTGGGTCCCAAGCGTTTTTTAGTTTGTGGTTGTAATTGTTGGTTTTTGTTTTGCTATGTTATCTTACATCTTGAGGTGTATTTTAGAAATAGGGTTATTGTCTTAGGGGCTTTTTGTTTGAAGATGTAAGATTTTTAGGTGATATGGTCTGTATTGGTTTTTATTCCCCTTTGAGGGTTCGGTGTTACCACTTGTACTTGGTCTTCTATTTAATAAAATATGAGGTATTCTTTTCTCCCTTCCAGTGTTCTTCAACATACTTCTAAGTATGTGGAAGAATATGAAGGGAGTTTTTAATGAGACCTCCAACTTCTATAAAAAAAAAAAAAGCTTTAGGATTTGATATATTCAAATCAATTGTGATTTTCTTTATCCTTTTTTGCAAACATAACTAGGTAAAAACACATTAGAATGGCTGGTAAGATGTCTATTAGAAAGCACCTATTACTACAATCAAATTGGAAGATGTATTTTAGTAGGTAAGATTTGAATGGAACAGGATCTAACTGCTTCACACCCTTATACTACTAACATAAAGTACAAAAAGAGAAAGGATGAGGTGACTTCTTTTACTGTTTCTTCTTGTCATTGCTTATAGAAAATCTATCAAAGTCGAATATATATGACTGTAAAACAAATCAACGAGTGGATTTCATAATAAGGTAGGATGTTTAACACGAACCAAAAGGGCCTGATTTTCAGGGTTGATATTTTCCAGAAATACTCTTCTATGCAATCTCTGCTGCTCAACCTGAGGATTCTTAGCCAAGACCTTGCGCATGTCTGCAACTATATTCTGCACAAACAAAAGGGGGTCCAAAACGAGTTTTAAAAAATGGAAATGAATTTAATGTCTTTAAAGGTGAAATAGAACTTCATACAGTTTTGGGTAACTCCTTACATTAATCTTATGGACATCCAAGTGACTGATGGCCAGGTGAGTTTTAATGCGCCAATGAGTTTTTTGACTAAGATTTCTCACAATATTTACCGTGAATTTGTGGTTTGGAATGTGAACTGCTTCACGATCTTCCCCTCTTATTATTGTTGGCGACCACCAACCAACATGCTGAATATGAAAAAAATCAAGACCCATATAAGAAAATCCAAAGATGAAGCATATTGTTTCCCAGTGAACTAAGGTAATCAAACCATTAGAAACCAACATAAAAATTGAAATCTAATACAAATACCATAACAATTTTAATTTAAGAGCTCCATGCCTCACCATTTTCTCTAAAAACTTATTAAGAGCGGGCTCAAGTACAAACCTCAACAGTACCGGAAACTTCATACCCCTCGATCTTTGCTTGAATCCATTCATTCAAGACAAATGGTCGTGTTGCATGAATCATTGCACTTGAGAGAAAATTTGTGAATATCTACAACAAACATCAATCAAACTGTCAAGCGCTGAAAACGTGCATATACTGGTACAGATAAAAAAAAGATCAAGAAAAGTCCAAATAGATCAAATAAGTTTGGATTTTCATTTTTGTTTGATTTAGGAGATATAGCATCAATATTATGTTTCCTTAATAACAAAAGTTGTACTTCAGTATCTTAGAAGGCTGATCTCCTTTTTATTTGATTTCCATCATTTTAGCTATTTAGCTACTTCACTGGTTTTGTAATTCAATTTGTTGGGATAGTTTTTCCAGTAGCTATTTTAGCTGCCCATATCAAACCTACCAAACCCTAACCAATTCAACACCAAAGCAACCACCAAGCTTCAATTGCAACCATATATCATTGCTCCCTTTTCTAGTTTTCTGCCCAAGAATCTGAGTTTCTTTCTAAACAAACCTATAGTAATAACCATCTCTCATTCAATTAATACCTATAATCACATGTTCTTGCCTATAATGCAATCATATTTTCAAGATTAGTGGAACTCCATATTTCTGTCCTATTTCGTCTATATATTTTTCATAAAGTGCACTTTTCTTTTGGCCAGAGATAAACTGCAGTTAACATAAAGAAAGAAAGCTTTGTCCACTGCCAAAAAGTAATGTGATGGAGAATGGGGAAAGCTGTAGATTGAAATGAACCAGTATGAAGTGATGTTTAGTTCTACCTCACGGCCAGCAAGAGTCAGCAAAACTGTCCCCAGACCTCCAGCAGTTAGCCACCTTTGAGTAGAGAAACCCAGCAACTCCATGAACAATGACCCAGCAGCGACCCAAACTGCAGAGTATAAAGCTTTCCCTGCAAACTGGAAACTCATCTGCCGTAAAGAAAGATAAGCTTAAGAATTAGTAAAAAGGTTCACAATTGCAAATCTGATTGTTCTAACAGCAACCATATGAATATGCAGTATAGGTTTCTCAGCCTCTCTAATGGATGGAAGCATTAGAGTCACAATTCATATGCACTTCTGTTTATAGTAATAAACAATAGCAATCACATGAATATTAGTAAGTAATATCATTGCTTTATGTAAGAGAAATCAAACCCACATTTCTCGTATCGCTGATCTCACCCGTCTCCATCAAGAATTTTTGCATTTGCTGAATCATGCTGCAAATAGCATTTTTTAATGATGTTTAATGATAAAGGAAATAAAACAGTCATGGAGCATAACTAGGAAAACTTTATTAGCATTCAGAAATCAGTTTTAGAAGAAAAATATTCTGAAATATTATAAATACAATGCATTCGCAGTTCATACTAGCCATAGATATGAGGTACATGTTTTATTTTTTAGCTTCTAAGATTTTTTACATTTTTTATGAGGGAATAGCTTCTAAGAAATTATTATGCTTTTCATGTCCTTTCACATCTGATAAAATTATTATGCTTTCATTAGATTATTTTAGATAGATACACTTCAAGTTAACAAGGTGGAACCAGATTTCAGTAATGAGATTTGCTGATGAGCTTGCCGAAAACAATGCATTAACCATCCGCATCAAGCAATTTTTTTTTTAATTTTTGAGGGGAGAAAAAGAAAGAGAATACATGCTTACCTCGATAAGCAATAGGAAAAGGCCACCACAGTTGACAATGATTGTACGAAATTTAAAAGCCGTTGCTTAATCGATTGGCTGGCTTCTGTAGGGAGAACCAATGGATCCAGTGCTCTGCAGGAAGTACAACAATAAGAAGCATGCCAGTTGAACAATTGGAAACTAGATTTTCATTTTATAACAAAAAATTACAGAGCCGCTTTAGCACTTAAAAAAGTCTATGATTTTGACACCTGCATATGAGTATTGCTCCAGTCCACAGCAGCAAAGGTTGAATATAAGACATTGTAATTGAATGTGTTCTGCTCTTCTTCCAGCTACTATCACCCTTCTGCAGGTAATCTTTTAACATTAGATAATGCATTGATCCAACTTATATAGACATGTACCGAACCATGGTAAATAACAGAATTGAGAAAACCCTAGAGAAGTCAACTTACACTAAGAAGTAAGCTTCTACTGTATCGCAGAAGTGGTCCAATACCACATAGGGCAAAAATAATAATGCTAATTGCAGGAGCCAACTTAAATACAAGAGGACTATCTCGTAAAATATTATATGACCTGCATGATAAAAATAAATAAATAAAGGCATATAAATTATAACAGTACCTAAAGTCCTAAACATAAAGACAATACCCAAAAGTACTGTTTTAAGGACATTATGTTCCTAATATAAACATGAGGCCACAAGAAAATAAATAAATTAGCTAAAGAAGAGAAAAGTAATGTACTCTTGAACTATATTCTGGGACACTTCAGATTTGAACCCAAATAAAATCAATACTAAATATGTTGAACTAATAAGAGAACACATTTATCTGTAATGAGAAGTTAACCACACTAGGAAACAATCCTGAAAGTCAGCATAACAAATATGTCGAGCAGATGACGAAACAAGGGAAAAAGAGCACCTTGTCAATGCAATAGAGGCAGCTTTTACCCCAGGAAGTTCAAATACTTTTCCTGGTAATTGAAAAGAATGACACCTAAAGGCATTGTATCTGTATGGAACTGAATGTATTGGCCTGTACAAACTGTTTGAGAGGCGAATTCTCCAAAAATCCTGTTGCTGGAACTGTGGAAAAAAGATAAGAAGAAAAAAAATTGTTCCTCAAAACATCAGAAAGAGCATTAAATTTCTGCTAGAGCTATTAAATTGAAAGACTATCTCCAAGTCAACTTCCAATGGGCTACAAAGAAGTTCATAGCTCAGTAGCTAGTAACATTGCAAATGAATGTAGGGACCACCATGTAATATGTACATAAAGATTTAAAAGAACATAAATCTAGTCTTCAGGTCCATGGTATTACAGTAACGTGATACAATCACTGCAATAATAAATGCTAAGTGATTGGAAGATTGAAAATAGATATATTATGTGCTAGCGTGTATGGAAAATAGCATACAAGCAACTTTTTTTTATTAATCTGGGGTAAGTACAAGACAACATCTATTCAGAGATAACTCTCAACCAATTAAGATTGAACGCTCACATCCCTAGCATTCCTGGTGCTCAAACTATCTCTACCACCGAGCTCACTTGGTTCGTGCTACAAGCAACACTTAGTGTGACAGTTTCTGTGCAGTTTGAGACAAAGATATTGACAAGCAAAAGCTATCATATTCATGTCCATGTGCAAAAGCAATGCGTTCATGATTCCTATCGTGGACAATGCACTGTCCATACATGATTAACTAACAGAAGAAACATCACATCCTAACCAAAGCAGATGTCTTAGGGCTCGAAGTTATACCGAAGCACGAGATGAGAGGGTGTCACCCAGTAAATACAACTTGTGCCTTACACCCTGAAACCGGGAAAAAGAAAAAAGGAGGCAAAAATATCAATATACGAAATAAAAAGCCAAATAGAAAACAAAAGATTTTCTTAGAAGGGGATGGACAAATCTTTTACCTTGAACTTTTTATGGTAGCCCCGGTTCCTGCAAAGTCCCAAATCATAGGACAAATACAAAGAACCAGAAAGAGACATCGTCGGGGTGAAATCAATCGTTTACAGGGCGTCACTAGTTGCATAAGATCATACTGTAATCCAGTAACAGACAAGCTTTAAACTTGAAATGGATATTAATAAAGGGAAACACTTATCCAAAATCCCGAAACTAAGCAACCTGCCAGAGGAAATTAAAAATTAGAGGCGGCAACAGAAGATACCAACATAATTAACAAGAACAATAAAAGTTGTGTCGAACCCTCAGAGAATTTTATTTCGAAAATTTCACCAGTCGGACGACATAGCAAAAGGGGTTAAAGAAGAGAAGTTTTGATCATTCGGGTGTAATATTTTAATTATAACTCTGAGAAGGCTAAGAAAAATGAAGAATCTAATCAAACCATATGCCACGGAAATTGGAATGATAGTTACCTTGAAGAGAAAGAAACGGAGAATTCCAGGCCTCGAATAAGAAATTCCGAGATTGGGCAAACAATTTTATCATTTTCTTAAAGTGGTCACAATTTATCCACGTGGATTGCCACGCTCACTTCCGTGGCGGCTCGTTTTCGGCAGTATCTTTTTCGACAGAAATTTCAAAACCTTGGAACGCTAGATTACAAACGGCAGCGTTTTTTCTGGAAATTTGCAAGCGGTCGTTTAATTGAAAGAAGTGAAGATTATAGACCAATTTCAATTTTGAAGTCAATCTCATGGATCGATCGTTACCTGAGGCTTGAATTCCAGAATTATCATAAACGGTTGCTTGTTAAGCTCTCCATTATTGTACGATGAGCCTTGATGATGATATCAGTCTGAAAGATGTCATATCCTTATTTTTCACTTGGACATTGTCCAACGCCATCCAGTTGATCCCTAATGACAGATGATGGTTTGTTCATGCCAGTTGTTAGACCTCAAGAGATGCTGAAATGGGTAATTTGACCCTTTCATCATACCCTGGCCATATAATTTTCTTGTTTAAATGGTAGCATTTGCCAACCAAAGGGAATAACCATACAAACTTCTTGTCGTCTCTTCAAAAATGAAACATTGAATCATATGTGGTAAACCGTTACATGCTCGTACAACAACCGCTAATGAACCCATATGATTTGTCAAATTTTGAACTGAAAAAGATGGGAACCCCGTGTTTCATGCACAAGCTTGAACAGAAGAAATAAATAAAAAAGGGAAATCTATAGCTTCGTACTTGAATTGCGGTTAGTTGAGCTGTGTTAGTGGAGACCTTTCTTCAATAACCAAATAGGGTTTATTTGATAGAACTGCTGTCCTCTCACGTTCTTCTGCAATGTCTCTCTGAGCCTTGGCCGGGGCAGTATTTTTCATTTCTAGCTGCTTCCTCAGGACAGAAAGATTTTCGACCCTCTCTTTCTTTCTCATGGAGGTTAAGTTCAGCCTCAACATTTGCAAGTTTTGGTAGGATTGGACATCATACATTCCAGATTTCAATAGCAGTAACATCACGGAAACCTCCTCACGCAGCAATTTCAACTGCACAGCTGAAGAATGGTAATCTTCAAGAAGCACTTTGAGAGCTGTAATTGTTCAATTTCCTGGTCATTTCCTCCCGCTGGTATTCCCATTCGGCTTATTGAGCCTGGAGATTTGCTGAAAACTCCTCGTGCATCTGCTTCGCACTTTTGAGCTCGTGTTGAAGTTTCATCAGAGAAGAAGTTCTAGCTTCTTGGAGTTCTTCGAGTGATGACAACAACTCATCGTTTTCTGCCTCCAGTTTTCCTGCTCAATATACCGTTTCCTTATAAAATGTCTAAGATCTGCGACTTCGTTTACTCTCTGCAAGTTCAAGCGATCCAATTGTGACTTTGCATCCTGGCATTCAGGAAAAAAATATTTCTAAAGCTTGTTTTGAACTCTGAAATTTCAAGCTTCCGTTTACTTTCTTTGGGTTTCTTCAAGAGCTAAGGCTTGGTTGCACAAGTTTAGATGGTTTTCAAGATCTGTAGTTCGGATCTGAGATTCGAATCTTGTCTGTAGTGAAGAAACCTCACTAACATTGATTTTGCCTCCTCCTATTCATTCTTTCTCACCTTGAACCAGTTCCGAAGCTTGTCATGGGCTTCTTCTAGGTGTTTGAACTGTTCTTTCTTCCATTTTAGCTGATCTTCAACTTTCCTCTTGCCTTCCTCTACCCTGGCCAACAAATCATCTCTTTCTCTTAGCTCGTCAAGGTTTTGGCCTTTTTTCTCTGTGTAACTGACAAGTGACCTTGTAGACCTTTAATCTCTGCCCTAAGCACATTAATTTTTTATTTTTATTTGATAAAGTATATAAATGGCACGAATATAAGAAGGGTATTTTGTTAAGGATAAAATGATATTTAATTATAAGATATTATTTTATTAAATTTATTAATTTTTAAAAATTATAAAATAATTATTTAACTGATTTTATATCTTTAAATTTATATTATTTTTGTTAAAAAATTAATTACAATCCGAACGAGACTTTAACTTACTGATTATTATTTCTCAATCAACATATTAATGTTTAATTCAAATTATGACAAATTTCTAATAAAAAAATTAAATTTAGAACATATAGCTTCTTTGTCATAGATCTTCATTTGCTTACTTCACCACCGAGATTTCTTCTTCTTTTTCAAGAAGCTGTTGTGTGTGCTTCCTGATTTTTTATCTCGCTTCTTGGATCATTTTTAACGGGTCATTTTGGAATTTCTTCAAATGCTCACATAGTTCAGCTTTGATTTCGAGATTGGCCCTTAGCTTCTCATTCTCAACTTTGACTTCATCTAGCTCTTGATTAACCTTCTCAATTGCCATGTAATTATTATCAAATGCGTAAGACCCTTAGTGATTTAAACTGAACTGTAATTTCTTATGAAGGAACAATCGAGAGCTACTGTCGATTTCATTTATATGCTTTTTTGGGGGAAATTAACAAACAGACGGTGCCAAAATGCCAGATTCAACTAAACAAACAAATAGGGGAAAACACTAAATAGCTAAACCCTAAAGGCGCGTAATAAAATATTAAGAAAAATTAATTAGTACCTAACCATATGAAGCCAAACATCTTTAGGTTAAATTGAATTTTAGTGTTCAAAGAATTTTTTTGCTAAAAAAATGTTTAAAGTTTTCAACGCTGTTAAGTACTTTGACTGTAACTGTCGTTAAATTTAGCCGCCATCTGACACGTGGCACACATATAAAATTCGAAAAAATTATTTAAAAGATACAACTTTAGGTGCCTAAAATATACATCAAATTGACTTTTGGAGCCTAAAGAATTTTTCATTAAAAATAAGTGACTAACGTTTTTTCCGTTACACTTTTAGATGTCTACTGTTATATTTTTTATTTTTTAATAATTCAAATATTATTTTAAAAAAAATAAACCCTTGCGTCATCCCTCTCCCTCCTTTCTCCTCACCTCTGACGACAACGAATGGTCACCACCAACTGGATTTTGTTCAGAGTAGGGCAAGGAACTCAATGGTGATGAATGTATAACATACGACCAGCTGTAGTAGTCAAAAAATAGTAAAGGAAAACTTAGAAAACTGACGATCATTTGCAACGCTTTTTACGACAATCGGTGTAGTTTCACGGTCGGTGGAGGATTGAGTTTTAGTCGTGGCGACGAAACGGCTCTGATGGTGTCAACGGTGGAATTTTGATTTTTTTAAAATATAATATTAATTTTTTTAAATAATTTTTAAAATTTTATATGCATTACATGTGTCAAATAACAGTCAAATTTAACGGTCATTATGATCCATGCACCTAAAAGTGTAACGTTGAAAACATAAGACACCTATTTTTAGCGCAAAATATTTTAGGCACCAAAAGTCAATTTGAGGTATAGTTTAGGCACTTAAAAGTGTATTAAACCTTAAAAAATAAAAAAAATATAACGGTAGACACCTAAAAGTGTAACAGAGAAAACATTAAGCACTTAAAATTGTAACAAAAAAACGTTAGACACCTATTTTTAACGAAAAATTCTTTAGACACCAAAATCCAATTTAAGATATATAGTTTAGCACTCAAAAGTGTATTAAGACAAAGGATAACTAGTTATCAATTTTCTCCCAAAAGTTTTACCCATATGGACTCTTCTCTTTTTATTTTTGTTGGGCTTGGATGGTTCTATTGAAGTTTCTGAGTTAACAAACATAAAAATAACTGGAAGCAGAAGATCCAGAAGAAGTACCTGATTTTTCTAATTATTAATTCATCATCAAAAGGAACTACTCCTGCAGCATGTTTCTTTTTTCCCTCTTAGTTAAATTTCTAGTTATGAAAAAAATAAAGATTATAAAGAAAAGATATGCGAGAGGGTTTTTTTTAATACAAATCCTAGTCGTTTTCTTTCTCTTCCTCTCTCTTCTTTCTTTTCTTTTTTACAGTTTGTGTTAATTTTATTGATCAATTCAAGTTTTTCTTCTTTAATTTTGTTTAAACGGTGGCGACACCAGTTTTGATACTGGTTGACGCCCACCGATTGTCTTTTTTCTCTATTTTTTGTTAGTTTTATAATAAGAATATGTTGCGAAACACGACTATCGGATAGAGCAAAATCGCAACTGATAATTTGAGAAAATAAAAATGAATATAAAGAAGACACAAATTTTACGTGGAAAACCCCTAAATAATATAGGGTAAAACCCACAGGCAACGGTAGAAGAATTTCACTATTACAACTTCTCTCGATCTAACAAGGAGAAAACAATAACAATTCTCTCTTGATAAAAAGGAGAAAACAACTCTCAAGAAAACTCTCTAAATTCTCTAATATTGGGAGAAAGCTAGAATGATTTGGGATGGTTTTAAAGCTAAATGAGCTAGGGTATTTATAGTTGAACCTTAAGGATTAATCTTATAAATACTCTAAAGTACAATGACCATCCTTAAGCTTCAACTCTAAATTTAGTCATTGTACTTTAGAGTATTTATAAGATTAATCCTTAAGCTTCAACTATAAATACCCTAGCTCATTTAGCTTCAAAACCATCCCAAATCATTCTAGTATTCTCCCAATATTAGAGAATTTAGAGAGTTTCTAAATTGTGATTTTACCATTGTCCAAAAATCAACATTTTCGGTGCATGCACCGAAAGCAAACCCATTTTCACCTTTGCACTGAAATTTAATGCTCTTTCTGAAAATCCACTCTTTTCAGCTTAATTACTTCATATATCATCCCCTTTCTTATTATTAACTTACATATACATGTTTAAACTCATTTATATTCATTTATCTTGTCTTTAACCTTAATATCCTCTCCTCTTCATTAACTTCAAGAATCATACCATATTTTTAACATGTTTTAAAACTCATTCTATCACTTCACATCTCTTAATTTAACCCTTGACAAGTCAAATTCAACTTCAAAATCTATTAACTCCTTCTATTTCAAAAATTCACTTAAAAACTCATTTTCTTTAATCTCTTCTATATCTTTCATCTTGTTGTTTTAGAACAAATTAATCTTTCCTTAAGCTTAATTATCCTCTAATGATCATAACCCAACCTTAAAATCAATAATTAATCCACAAGCAAAGAAACTCACCTTTGAGCTTTAAGATACGGGAGGAAG